GACAGTTTTTGCTTGAGGACAAGCAAATGGCTAAGTTTGAGGGTGTGTTAGAGTTGACTTTTTAATGCAGAAATGTGATTTGGTAGGCTTGTTTGACCACCATTTCCCATCATTATTAGCTAAAAGGGCTTACAGATTCTTAAAGTAGAATATGCATAAAACAGTTCTGGATAATTTGTAATATATGACACTTTAGGAAAAATGTGAGAAAAACATGATCAAAGTTGAAAGAAAATCAGAGTTTTCTGTTTTGTAGGAAGTGCGCCTAGCGCAATTTTGATGGTCAACTTTCCCAAAACGTGTGTTTTATTTAATGAAGGGCAAGAGAGTCATTTCATATATGTTTAAATGAAGCAAAATCGTGAGTCCAAGTCAAGGAGAGGTAGTTGGGAGAATCTTAACACATTTCCTCCTAAAATGGTGGAAAGTTCAACCTCTTTGAAGGCATATATAATGGAGTCTCTCCCTCAACACTTCATCATCCTTTTCCATCCCGTTTTCATCTTCATTTACTGTATTTGTAGCTTTAGTTTTCGTTCATTAGCTTTAGAGTTCGTTGGAGTTATTTTCTAGTTGTTATTTCTTTGTATTTCCAACTTCTACTAATTGTTTCTCTTTTAATTCAAGTTCTTACTTTCATTCTTTATCTAATATGTTCTTTTAAAGTTTTTAAGCTAGTTTACATTCTCCTCACGCTCAAAAGAGAAAAGGGTCAAGCTAGAACTCCTTGTACACTGTTATTATTCATTTAAATTCAATGAAAATTATTTACCTTATGTTTTTGTGCGTTTTCTTTCCTTTAATTATGCACTAATTTATTTATCAACCTCTCTGTGGAATGCCTTAGCCAAAATGATTTGATTTCAGACATGCTCGGGATTTGCCCGGATTGCGCCGGGTGCAATCTTCCATTTGGCCACTGGGAATTTGATTTATGCATCAAAGCCCAACTCTGAGAAGATTAATGTTAGGTAAAATAATAGGAAACCAATATAGGATATGACTTAGATATAAGCGCATAAAACACTGTCCTAGACATAGGTCCTCTGACCCATAAATGCAAATGAGTTGATAAATACTATCTAGGATTATAATTACATATAGAAATATGATTGTAGGTTACCCTAGCCTCTACAGCAACAAAAAACGGTTCGTGAAAGAGTAGAACTCATATTCCCAAGATTAGCCAAATTGCGGCTAGTGCAATTTTCCAAAAGTGTATATCTTCCATATTTTCCATCAAAGCTAAGGTAGGGAGCAGGTAGGTTGTATTTTATAAAATTGCTTGATATTTGAAACCTCAAACAACAACATTTATCACTATTTTCTTCATAAACCACAATTGTTTATTTGAACCATTCACTTCTTAAAATTCATCTTGAAAGCACAAGTTCCTGAGGATTCGACCTTGGATTACTCCCAAGTATCACTTGTGACCATGTACGCTTGCACGTGTCTCTTATCTTTAATGGTAGAAAAAGTCCCGATAGGGGACAAGCCAAAAGGGTGAGAACTCTCTCACTTTTATACAACTTCGATAATCAAAACTAAAACTTGCTTCAAAACTACAATGGGGCCTATTTATAAACTAAGGCCATCAACTAATTTATAGGAAAAAATAAGACAAAATAGTCCTAAAAATAAAGTAATTACAAATCTTTCTAAATCTAAAAATTCTTCCCTAAGAAAATTAAGAATGTACATTGGCAAGATAAAATCTAAGACAAATAAAGCTTCAAGCAAATAAGAAAACATTTCTTAAATGCTCAACTTGGGCGGCAAGGCATAATCTAAGACAAGCAAAATATGTCTTTAATCAAATAAAGAAAGCTTTTTCCTTAAATGACAAAGGCGTGGGCAACAGAAAGGTTAGTGTGCGCATGGTGAGGGCTGACGGGGTGCTTGGTGGCACTAGGCGGGTAGGGCGCAAGGCAGCAGGGCCCACGAGCGTATGCGGCAGGTGGCAGGTTGCACGAGTGTAGTCATGTGCGGCAGAGAGAGCGAGGGGCGTGTAGCGTGGGTGGTGTGTGTTAGGGTTGACTTTTTACTGCAGAAACATGTGTCGGTAGCCTTGTTTGACCACGTTTTTTTACCCCTTTCGCATTATTATTTTCCAAAAATGACCACATATTCTTAAAGTAGAACATGCATAGAACATTTCTGCATAAAAGTAAAACTATGGTACTTTAGGAAAAATATGAGAAAAATACGGTCAAAGTTGGAAGAAAATAATAGTTTTTTGTTTTTTCAGAATTGCGTCTGGCGCATTTTTGGAGAACAAATTGGCAAAACACACGTTTTGATTAATGAAGGGCAAGGAAGACATTTCCCACATGTTCAAACCAACTCAAAATCGTGAGTCCAAGTCCAAGAAGGTTTGTTAGGTGAACTCAACCCATTTCCACCTAAAATGGTGGGGAGTTCAACCAACCAAGATGCTATATAAGGAAGTCATCCCTCCACTTGCAAATAATCCATTCCAAGCTCGTTTTCAGCTTCATTTACATTCTCTCTTCATTGTAGAACTCGTTCTTAGTCTTAGATTTAAGTTTTAGTTGTTATTTCCTTGTATTTTCGTACTTTCTTGCTTTTAATTCAAGTTCTACCATTTGTTCTTCGTTTATTCTATTATTCTTAAGTTTTTCAGCGAGTTTACACTCCCCTCACACACTCGAGAGAAGAGGGTTAAGCTATTACTCATTGTACCGCTCATTTATTCGTTTTAATTTAATGAAAAATACTTTCTTTATGTTTTCGTGCATTTTCTTTCCTTTAAAAATATTCTATAGTTATCAGCCTCTTTGTGGAATGCCTTAGTCAAAATGATTTGATTTTCAACAAGCTCGAGATTTGCCAAGAATTGCGCCTGACACTTTTTTGGGTTGGTTTTTAAAAACTTCTCTTTACGTCTTTTTTCCATTTGGCCAGTGGGAACTTGATTTATACACTAAAGCCCAACACTGAGAAGGGTGGGTTAGGTAAAATATTAGAAAACCAATATGGGATGTGACTTAGACATAAGCGCATAAAATATGGTCCTAGACACAAGCCCTCTAACCCATAAAGCGAATGAGTTGATAAATATTCCCTAGGATTGTAATCACACGTAGACATATGATTGTAGGTTATCCTAGCCTCTGCAGCAACCAAAAGCGGTAGTGAAAGAGTAGAACTCAGTTTCCCAAAGCTAGAATTGCATTTTCCCAACAAAGTGTGTTTTCCATGTTTTGCATCAAAACTAAAGTAAGAAGCAAAGAGGTTGAAGTTTATTAAATTGCTTGTTAGTTAAAACCCCAAACAAAACATTTCATCACATTTTTCTTCCTAAATTACAATGGCATATTTGAACCATTTCACGACATTACTTGATTTTGAAAAGCAACAAATCCCTGAAGATTCAACCTTGGATTACTTCCAAGTATTACTTGTGACCGTGTGCGCTTGCATGAGTCCCTAATCGTTTTGAGGGTAGAGAAAGTCCCAACAGTGTGCGAGGTTGGTGGGCGTGTGGTAGGTGAAAAGACGTTAATCCCGCAGTAGAAACAGGGATCTTGTTCTTGAATTTTGAGGAACAAAACCCACAAATGGAAAAGAGGAAAAATATAGTGGAAAGTTTCCTTTACCTTTGAAGAATCGTTCTTCAAGGAATCACCAACGAACAACACCACTGGTCTTCCTGCTATCCTCTGGGAACGAAAATCTTGCTTGTGAGAACTTTGATTTGGAAAACCAGAGGGAATTGAGAGAGAGCACTTGAGAGAATAAAATCCAGGGGGTGGTTTTTCTTTTTCCCGTTTGTTCTTTTTGTGTGTAGAACAGTTCTGCAAAAAACCAGATGACGTGGAGAGTTACCCCACGTCATCACAAACCACTCATTCCCCTGCAATTAAGCAGAGGAGTGATAAATATTAATATTAATTAATATAATTAATATTAATATAATTAATATTAATAATTAATAATATATATAATTAATTAATCTTATTAATTAATTAGTATTAATTAATTATTAATCTAATTAACAATTAATTAATTATATATTAATTAAATAAATAATTAATATTTAATTATTTAATCCCAAAATAGAATCATATTCTAAAGCAATTCTCTCATATAACCTATAGTTGTAATGTATATGTACATTATTTTTAACCTATAGTTTTAATATGAATCATATTCATAGTAATTTTATTTGAATCTCGTTCAAATAATTTCTCTCATAATATATAGTTTTAATTATAATTAACCATATATATTATAATGTATCTACATACATACATAATCTCTTGAGCAATTTGAACATTTCAAATTTTTCCAAAAAACTTGATCCTCGTTTTACCCGTTGTGAGCTAGCAAGGAGACCTAATGGACCTACAGATCAGAAGCTCCAACGATAGGAGATTAATCGGTCAAACTCATTAACCGAGTTAATCAGCATCCATTAAATACGGGTCACTCCACTAAAGACCCGCAGCTGCACTCTTCTCACTGCAGAATATTTTCGTGTCCACAGATATACGATCATTAATGGCAAGTCAATCCTGTACGAGTCCTCGTAACTCAAGCTGGGTCAAATTACCATTTTACCCCTGAGTTACATCTTACTCCTTAAATACCACTGCTTCTCTAATGAATAACCCGGTTATGGTCCGACCAATAACTGGAAGTCCCTCTCGGGCCAGTGAGAGGGTGGGGACCCTTGTTCAAATCCTGGAGTCAGCATTTAAGAGAACACTCATCTACTCCTCGAGAGTCAGGGAGGAGTGAATTCCATCTCGTGAAGTTATGTTCCCAGCTCCTCACTCGGTCTCGTCCCAAAAATGGTAGGAATATTGAGTTGGCGACTCGAGCCACTCTCATCCATACAGATCAAAGGACGAGACTTAACCGGCAGGAGTCCATAACTTACTCAGGATTGAGAATAAGTTGTCTGGTCATCTTATGAAATAGCAACCTATTAGCCAACGGCGTGACATCTAAAAATCGGCTATTTCGTGGTCCGGTCTTACACAAACTCATTGTATAGGATACCCCCACTTGTATGTCTCCACACGAATGACCTGGATCGGGTCGTCTGTAACATTTACAAAGTGGGTCGTATCCATATTGTTGCCAAGATAAGATACCCAGCCTTATCCATATACTATAGACTCTTTAGGTTATTCCCGTGACATTATCCACTTGTATATCGAGAGTATATCAAATATATACCCAATATATATATTATCCTGATTCCATGATAATAGCCTTGGATGTTTAGTTTATTGGATTTAGACAATTGCAATGAATTCAACAACAAATTTATTGAATATAACTTTATTGAATATAAATTTGTTTTTACATAAATACAAACTACGAGTTTAGGGCAATATACCCAACAGTAGGGCTATAAGCAGGCCGATGCATAAGTTCTGGCAGACGAGATAGGTAGTGGCGATGATGCATGCGGCAAGGTGTGCAAGGCTGACAATAGGAGCACAGGCGTACATTAAGGGGCACACTGGTGGGCCATGGTGTGCGTACAAGTGCACATGTGGGGGGTGTCTCTAAGTGAGGTTAGCGCTGGTAGTAAGGCGCACTGTACGGTCCAAGGGCAAGCAGTGGTGATGTCCTTAAGGCATGGTCGCTTGCTTGGTCTTTCTTTAATCTCTATATTCCTCTTGACTTTTGTTGGATGCACTTGGTCTTTCAAAATAGTCAATTGTACTCATGGGTCCAATGAAAGGTTCCCCTTTTTAGGGAGTCCCTCCCTTTGATCTTCCTTTTTATTGACGTAGGTTGACTTTTGGAGCTCTTAGGCCAATTATGATCGTATCATCTCCTCATTATTGAAAATGATTCGTTCTCGAATCAAGTTGGTCACCTACATTCGAATGAGTCAAGTTAGTCAAATGATAAGCCTAAAAAAGTGTACTCTTACCTTGTGGGTGTTGGAAGCTGGAACGGATCCGACCGTCGAGCGCAGCGGAAGCCGACGCTATAAATCGATTAACGGATCTCAATGACAACTTTTAATTAAAAAAAATTCGAAAATCAAAGAGGATCGAATCTCTTACCTTTGTAGTGTAGATGATGGACTCTACGAGATCTTCCCAACTATCATCAATCTACAACAAACTGGTGTGTAGGCACCTCTTGGGAGAAAGAGGAAGAACACATTCTTCCTTGGTAGCTACTAGGGAGGAGAGAAAGAGAGCATTAGCATTGACATATGCACTCCTTAGGGTTTTGCCTATAAGTCTATTTATATAGACTTTGAGCCAAAATCCTAGTGGGCTAATTAATCCTCTAATTAATTATGAAAATTAAAACTATTTTTTATTTTCTTAATTAATGTATTGGCTTCTGTCTCCTGCATTTTCCATGAGACCAACCACATAACATCCCATTAAATTAATAATAAATCCAACTTATTATTAAAATCCAAGTTAAATAATTGACAAGATTTAATTTTCTCCCAACTTATTGTTCGCTACAGAGTTTAACGAGCTAGTAGGGAGATATTATGGACCTACAACTTTAAGCTCCAATGGTCAACAATTGATTAATTAAACTCATTAATTAACCAATTTTACCATTAACCCAAGGTGACTCCACTAAAAATCAAGGGTTGCATTCTCATGCACTACAGATGAGTTATGTCCACGGATATAATCATAACGGCTCATCTTATTCTTCACAAAGTGACTCATGATCCCAGTTTGGCGAAATTACCGTTTTTCCCCTGGACCCATCTTTTGCTCCTTAAATCCCACGGTTCTATAATAGATAGCTTTCCATGATCTCATCATGAGTTAATTCTTATTGGGGTATCAAGAAGGCGGGTACCTTGTTATCCAAGCCCTGAACCAACACTATAAGGGAATCACTTATATACTCACTCAATAAGGAGAAGTACACACTCTGCACTTTCCAATATTGAGTGGCTGTAAATTCCATCGTGTGTACAAATGTTCCTAGCTCCCCCATTGAATATGTTCCCAAAACAGTAGGCTTATTGGGCGAACACTCTAGTTACCTTCGTGCATGTGAATCAAAGAACACACTCGCATAGGTAGGATATGTTAAGATTAAACGAGCATATAATCATCCTAGTGATATGTTTGCAATTTATATAACGGTTATATTAGAAAATACAAGACACATCTTGGTTAAGACTTATACAAACTCATTGTATATGATATCCAACTCACATGCCTCCACATGAAGGTATCAACAGTATTACAAAGATAAGGTATCCAACCTTATCCATATGCTCTGGACTATTTAGGTTCCTGCTTGAACACAATCCTCCGCATGTCAACTACATACTGTTCAAGTTTACACCAGTAACCTTGAATTTTCATAAAATGAATAATATAAATTGCACATAAAAATAATCAAATTATTTTATTAATTAAATTACGAGGCTTTAGAATCCCAACACTGGGTTTTCTTGGCATGGTTGAAGGCTTTTGGACTTTCTCAATGGGCATGACACTTCATTCTCCTTGAGAATTTCTATGACCCTTTATTCGTTGGACTTTTGAGTAGGCACTGTTCCTCGGATTCTTTGTAGAGCAATATTGAAGTTTCTTGATAAAATTGATCATGTTTGGCAAATCACTTCATTTCAATTTATCATGTTTGATAAAATTGATAATTGTTCCTCGATTGCCAAAATAACTTCCATTTCCATTCATCATGTTTCACAAATTAAAAAATTGATTTTAGAAAAACATAAAATCACTTAAAATTCAATTTTAAGGTATTACTAAGTGGTGATTTTGGAAATATAAATCTATTTTTTCAAAATCATTCATTCTACCATCATTCTAATAATGGTGTGTTTGGAAGTGATTTTGACATGATTAAAATCATTTTTGCCATTACCAAAATCACTCTCCTTTTGGCAAGATTTTAGAACAAGCAGCTCGTGGGAGATTTTTTATTGGATTGATTGACTGAGAATCACATCTCAAAATGATTTCACAATAACAAAAGTGATTTTCACCCTGCTAAAATCACTCCTATACAAACCTTAAATCAGTTTTATAAAAAACCAATTATGGTTAAATATTTTCTCACAATCATTAATTCTATCTCAATATCTTTTCTCACAATCATTAATTCTATCTCACCCCAAACACATCCTAGAACTATTAGGGACACAAAATAATATTCCCCTTAAAATAAAACATTTCAATCTACATCTTTATATAGAAGGGGAGGCTCAAGATTTTGGTGTAACCGACGCTTAGAAATCCGAAGCCGTACCAAACATTTGGTTTTTTCTTCCAACTGCCAAATACTCGTGTTGGAAAGCTACGGTTTCCGACCCCGGGCGCAGTGGAATAATTGTAAATCGGGAAATCGGGGGTTGGTATTCAATTCCTCGGCTGAGTCAAGCCGATTTGCGAGGATGTTGGATTACATTGGGTGGATTCCTCCTCGCTTGGAGTGCAGAAGATCTCATTATATATTACATTGCTTCCAATACCGACAATGCCCATAATCCCACATTATCTCCTCATCACTTCCTCATTCTCCCCAATCCAATCCCTCTTTCTGGATCTCTGAGAAATTTCAATTCCACTTCTGCTCATTTTCTTGCAGCAGCGTCGGGAAAGAGAAGATGAAGGTGATAGAGAAGATCCGGGCAGCCACCGCCGGCGATGGCGGCAGGGTGGTGTTCTCCTTCGAGTACTTCCCGCCCAAGACGGAGGATGGTGTGGACAACCTGTTCGAGAGGATGGATCGCATGGTGGCACATAATCCTTCCTTCTGCGACATTACATGGGGCGCCGGTGGCTCCACCGCCGATCTCACCCTCGACATTGCCAACAAGATGCAGAACATGATCTGCGTCGAGACCATGATGCATCTCACCTGTACCAATATGCCTGTCGAGAAGATCGATCACGCCCTTCAAACTATCAAGTCTAATGGCCTCCAGAACGTTCTCGCGCTTCGCGGCGACCCTCCCCATGGGCAGGACAAATTCGTCCAGATCGAGGGCGGCTTCGCTTGTGCTCTCGATCTCGTACTCTACATTCACTTCCTCTCGCTTCTTTTTCTCTCTTTTCTGTTTCTGCTCTCTGAATGTTTCCATTTCTTGTTCCTAGGTTAAACACATCAGGGAGAAGTATGGCGACTATTTCGGAATTACTGTAGCTGGCTATCCAGGTTTCCTTCACTTTCTATTGGAAGTTACAGATCTACTTGCAGATGCATTTCTTGTGTAGCTAACCAGATAATGATGCTTCTTTCCAGAGGCACATCCGGACGTGATTGGAAGCAATGGCGTGGCCACGCCTGAAGGCTACCAGAGCGATCTGGCTTATCTCAAGAAAAAGGTCACTCTCATCTTAATTCCTCTTCCCCTGTTCTTACATGGCCTACTCTTATGTGCTAATTTCGTTTTCTGCTTGCTGCCATCTTGTTTTTTCTTTTTGGTTGTGTTCAGTTTGATGCTGGGGCTGATCTGATTGTTACCCAGCTCTTCTATGACACTGACATTTTCCTCAAGTTTGTCAATGATTGTCGTCAAATTGGAATTACTTGTCCTATTGTGCCTGGTATTATGCCCATCAATAATTACAAAGGTTTCTTGCGCATGACAGGCTTTTGCAAAACCAAGGTACCGACCTCTCTACCTCGACAGATCTTCATCGTACGCAGACGTTTGTACTGGGAGTGAAAGATACTTGTTGCATGCAAACCAACTTTTATAAAACTGTTCTTCATACGTGCTTGTGATCTGCTTTCTTAAAAAAACAGAAGAAGAAGAAAAATATTCTTGATCTCTATGTTGATGCAAACACTACCTTGAAGTCTTCACTCCGTTTTGATAGTTGTAAGACTTGTAATCAGAAGGATCTAGCTACTGCTTGACACTTTCACTCAAGGTCTTTGGCTGTATTGTCGTTTTCATGTTGTTGCTTTAAAAAATTTGCAGTTGGTTTCTTTGAAAGTTCAAACTGCACTTTTCACGTTGTTGCTGCCGATTCGGCTATTCCCCACTGACCACATATGCTCCTGTATTTTATAAATTCATTATTTTTACTGCAGATGATCTTAAATGACCTTGATATAATTAATAATTATATACGTTGATATTAAATGGTTGCCATCATGTCTTGAAACAATATTTGTCTGGAGAAAATTGACTCCATCTGATTGTATGCTTTGAAATCTCCACACAAGAAGAGGGAAAGGAAAAGATAGAGTGATATTTCACTATTAATATTCAATAGAAAATGTCAACTGCTACATTCTTTCTTGGACTCCCTTATCTTCTTTAAAGGAGGATGGGGAAAGATCCCAAATGTGTCGGTGGTCCTTATTCTTTGACTGGAGGTTGTTGGTCGGAGGATATATCTCTCCCTGTATTATCCTCAAAACTTTGTAAACAGTTATCATTGAGTTTTCTTTTCTCTCTAAAGAAAATTAATTTGATCTATTATGTTAAATTGTTTCTCTTTTACCTGTGGTTGACTTTGGAAAATTTGCAGATTCCTGATGAGATCATGGCTGCGTTAGAGCCTATCAAGGACAATGAAGAAGCTGTCAAAGCTTATGGAATTCACCTTGGAACAGAGATGTGCAAGAAGATTTTGGCCCATGGAATCAAGACTCTACACGTTTATACACTGAATATGGAGAAATCAGCGTTGGCTATACTAATGGTATATTCCAGTATCCCATTTGCATTTGAGTTTTTACTCACGAATGCACATTTGTATGAAGGTCCAGTCATTGTGTGTATGGATTAGTTGTCTTTGGATGTTCTGGTACCATGTATTCTTAGGGAGGTAGGGAGGGAAGGGGATGAATTTGGCTTCCTTCCCTTTCTTAAGTCCATGCATTATTTGGACAACTGAGAATCTGCACCTGTCTTTTGATATATGTATATGTATATATATGTTCATGTGAGTATAATAAAGAGGAGGGGAGGAAGGGAAGGATAATACAATGCATATAACATGAGATAATTTTCTGATGTCCTCAGGTTTGTTTTTGTAATATAAACAAATTTACAGTTTGTTATGATTTTATTTCTTGTTCATATATTATTTTATATTTTCAATTTCAGAGGCTTGTAGTTTATTCAGTTTTTGGGTTAAATCCATGTCCATGTGCACTTCTACTCTTATTTTATACTTATGTCTCGCCAAAAACAAATGGCAGAATCTTGGTCTTATTGAAGAGAGCAAAGTCGCAAGATCTTTGCCTTGGAGGCGCCCCACCAATGTGTTCCGTATCAGGGAAGATGTTCGCCCAATCTTCTGGTATCTCATATGCTTATTCCAAAATTGGGATAAATTACTAATGATTTAGGATGCATAAAATAATTTTACACTAGGGTAAATTTGAGATAGAACTGATCTTTCTAGTCAATGATCACAGGGCTAATCGTCCTAAGAGCTACATATCAAGGACCATAGGCTGGGACCAGTACCCTCATGGTAGATGGAGTGATTCTAGTAATCCTTCATATGGGGCACTAACTGACTATCAGGTATGAATAATACAATAATACTTGTAAAATACAATGCTCTCGAGTGGTATTTGTTAATATATGCTCTGTGTCGATCATATTTGTTATATATAGATATATAGTATGAGATAGAGTGACTGTACTTGCTCTTGGTTGGTGTATAAGTTTCTATTCACCCTTCACTTCTTACACCCTTAGCGACCTTATCATCAATTGGAAGGCGTTTTTGTAACTGCCCTTGTGGCATTTTGTATATTTCATAGCATCAATGAAATACTCATTTCATATTAAAAAAAAAAAAGTATGAGATAGAGAGAGAGAGAGAGAGAGAGATAGACAGTATGGAGGAAGTTCCCTTACCTCTGCAATAAATTCTTGCTGGCTGCCTGTTAGAACTCAGGTCTTGCATTCCCCCTTTGATTACTGTAGTCAATGAATATTGAACTCTTTGCTATCTGCATGAATTAGAGATTTAAAAGTTGTATTTGAGGAACTTTTTCCCTCATGATGTAACATTTACTTTTGGCTTGATTCTTGACACCAGAACATATCAAAATATAATTCTGTTTGGTCGAATGAAACTTATGGTAGGAAAGGATATTAATTGTAAAGAAAATCAGTACTGATTCCTTTTGGAAGGTGGTGGTATGGTAGACTTTTGCCCCTAAATAATGTGTTCATTTTTATTGTTTCAATAGGTGAGCTGGTCTGGTGATATTATTTTCCATGTTTCTTTAACACTTCAAAAAGCTGAGAATATAAACTAAACTTCATTCAATTTTTCATTTGAGCCTTGCTACAACAGTTTTAAGATGGTTTTTTTTTTTCTAACACAGAAGTGTAACCAGTGTTTTTATTGCTTTGTTTTGCATATTAGTTTATGCGGCCGCGTGCACGTGACAAGAAGCTTCTTGAGGAATGGGCTCTCCCATTGAAAAGCATAGAGGATGTTTATGAGGTACTGTTCCTACCCACGTGTGAAGAAATTTGTTATAAATGAAAGTGATTGACTGGATATGTTGGATTGTTTCATATCAGAAATTTATGAAGTACTGCCTTGGAAAGTTGAGAAGCAGCCCTTGGTCTGAATTAGATGGTCTTCAGGCAGAGACAAGGATAATAAGTGAACAGCTTGGGAAAATTAACATGAAAGGTTTCCTTTCAATCAACAGCCAACCAGCAGTTAACGGAGAAAGATCTGATTCTCCATCTGTAGGTAAATACAAAATAATGCATTTATACAATTTTTATTATATTATTTTTACAGCGTAACTGAGTAAATGTTTGAAAAAGCAATGCAATGCTAAAACTGCAACTAGATAATTGTTTCTCTAGTATTACAGATATAATTGACTAAAAGATAAAAGTAAAATAATATATTATTAGCTAAGTTATAGTACATTCTTTATTAATATTATTAATATATAAAATCATGTATGACCCTTTGACTGGATAAACTTCATAAGTTAATCTAAAAATAACTAATGGTCTAAATTCCCTGAACTGTCATACTTATTTCATTCTAGTCCCTCAACTATCAATTGTTCTGTTTTAATAATTGAATTTTGCATTAAAAATTTATTTTAGTCTTGACTGTTAATTTTTCCATTGTTCTGTTGATTTTTTGAACTACGGATCCAAGAAAACATTGAACAACCTCGGGGACATTAGCCTTTCAAACCAAAATAATTTTACAATGAAGAAACTGTGCTATAACGATGCATATTGAACGATCTAATAAAGAGTTGCATGAGAATCCTTATGTAGTAAATTGACAAGTATTGGGACGATTGATAATGACTTACAGGATGGGGTGGACCGGGAGGTTACGTTTACCAAAAGGCATACCTCGAGTTCTTCTGTTCCAGGGAAAATTTGGATGCTCTTGTTGACAAGTGCAGGGTTCTTCCAAATCTAACCTACATGGCGGTGAATAAGGAAGGCATTTGGGTATCCAACATCACTCAAAAGGACGTGAATGCTGTAACATGGGGAGTTTTCCCAGCCAAAGAGATCATCCAGCCAACCGTCGTCGATCCCGCCAGCTTTCACGTGTGGAAAGACGAGGCATTCGAGATTTGGTTGAGGGGATGGGCTTCCTTGTATCCCGAGGGCGACCTGTCCCGAAAGTTGCTTGAAGAGGTTGGTTGGTGCAGTTGTCTATTTAATTTGGTTTCTGTAGACAAGTATTTGGATATAGTGTGACTGAGGTAGTTTTGCATTTGTTTCAGGTACAGAGCAGCTATTACTTGGTGAGCTTGGTGGATAACGATTACGTGCATTCTAACCTGTTCGCCATTTTGGAGGATTTCTGAGAGTGAGCTGAGCCGCCTGCTATTCCTTTCCATGCTTCTAGTTTTTACTTTTCATCTTTGGTCTCATCTCTTATGAGTTATGAAAATCTGGAATTGGATAAGCTGAATCCTTTTTCCGTTCGTTTGAGTTTATAACATAATTCCCAAAAGGGTTGTCGTTGCGTTGTCCCTTTAGTTTTAATACATAAAACAACAATTTTGGGATTTTAAACTTCCCGAGGTTGAATGTATCATTCATTTATGATTGGATCTGGAAGCTAGTAGTGTAGCCTTGGGCTTTGGATATTATTATATTTGGCGATTTAATTGATTGTGTAAACACGTAATTCTATTACTCTCTTTCTGCATCAAGATTAAATATTAGTTCATTAGCATTCCCTTTTAATTTTCCCCCATATTATATTGGCCTTAGGGATTTAATTGATTGCGTTGTATTTAATATGGGTGGAAAATTTTTGGTCCGGTTCGGTTTTTGGATAGGGAAGAAAAATCGAAATCAGTTTGGTTAAGTAGGGATGAAAACCAAACCGATCAGTCCGATGTTGGTTCTTTTTCTCCTTTTCTTTTTCCCCACCACTACCTCGGTTTTCTATTCCACGTTGATTTGAGGGGGGAAAAAAGAAACGTGTAAAATCGTGATGGCCACCACCACCTCTTCTATTCCACGTTGATTTGAGGAGGGAAAAAAAAACGTGATGGCCTTAAAACTTTTTTGAAACAAACTTAATATTTTGAGATTAAAAAAGTTTCNAGGGGTGAGATTTATAAAATTCTAACAAAAAAAAAAAAATACAATTTTTCGAGTCTATTGTCATGTCACTAGACTTGACATAAAAGAAATTTGGTTAAAAAACACATTTGGTCCCTGTACTTTCATTAGAGTTACGATTTAGTCCCTGAACTTTCAAAAGTAACAATTTAGTCCCTGTACTTTAAAATTGGTTACAATTTAGTCCCTACCGTTAAAAATGAGGTTAAGATTTAACGGATCGCTGACGTGGCTGCCATTTAGGACTGATGTGTACAAATTAAAATCCATTTGGCGAGTTGGTTCAACATCGGTTCAGTTCGGTTGGTATTTAAAATGGTTTAGGGCTTTAAAAATAAAAGAATGAAAATTTTACTCAGTTTCTGACCCACGACTGCTCTCTCTACGACTCATCCCACTTCATCTTCTCCACCATCGAACTCTCAATCGATACAGAATTTCCTCCCTTTCGTTCACGCTTCATCTCCTCCACCATAAAACTCCCAACCTATGCAGAATTTCTAAACTCATACTTCATCTCTTTCTAGGTTTCTACTTCATCCCCATTTGAGTGTTATATTTTAGAGAATCTTAGTTTATTTTAGTGGTGCGATTTTGTTTTTTAATTTCTGTAGAGTTTGTTTTATTATTTTTTGTTTTTGGATTTTGTGATTTTTTTTCTTAATGATTGATAGGATTTTATTCTTGTTTTTGTTTCTTTTTTCCCTTTTATAAATTTGTTGCAATTTTTTTTTCTAGGAAAGGGAATTCTATTTAGGGCTTATTCTCATATGGGCACTATTTTCCAATTCACCCATATCAATTATCATTTTTGGTTAAATGAATATAATTAGAAAAGAAAAAAGAAAAAGAAAAAGATGGGATATGTGATACTGCTAGCAACTACTGCTGTCAATTTTAATTTCTACAGACAAAGTAATTTTCATGTTGGTGTTAAGTGTCCTGCTGCTATCAATTCCAATTTCCAGCCCAAAAACATGAATATTGCCTTTATATTTCCTAAACTTACCTCCCTTGGTAGTACCTTAGTGTTGGAGATCAACCTTCCTTTATTTTGTGTTGCTATTGAGAGTCAATTTACGGCTGCTGTCAATTTTGTGCACTTATTTTTTACATGTGTCACATTCAAACAATCTTAAAGTAATTTACAACTAATATTTATATTTTATTCTATCTGCAGAGATGACAGATTTTGTAGTAGAAGTGCATCACAGTGGTTATTTTATGCATGAGCCATATATTCAATACATAAGTGGTAAGGTGGATCGCTATACAAATTTTGATCCAGATTATTGGTCTTTCTTTGAGGTAGTTGATGTTGTTGAACAATTGGGGTACTATAATTATCTAAAATTGTGGGGTAGGGATCCAACAAAAAGGTGGGTGGTTATCGAGTAATAGAATCTGATAAAGATGTCATAGAATTAACTAGCCTTTTAAGTGATGGAATGACATTTGAGATATATGTAGAACATGAA